CCTCTGTTGGTGGCCAGGCTTGGGTGCAGGTGCTCAGGGAAACAATGAAGGGCAAACTTAGCCAGGTAAGTAAATAGGAGTTTGTGCTTGTTGTAGGGTGCAAGGAAATGAAGATTGAGGGTCTTCGTTCCTTGCTCAAATAATATTTTTGTGGATCAGCCTGCCAAAGAAGAAGCACACGATCCTCTGCAGTTGACCACTTGATGAAGATAAGTGCCTCAGAGTGAGAGTGCTCCACTCAGATTGGTTCTCCTATCCGGGGAAAGTGAGAGCCTTTTGTGCCAGTGGTGGTGGCAAATGGAAAGGCCTGGTGTTCTTGCAGAGCAAAGTGTATGCAGAATTCTGTGCTTTCAGCATGGTGTGATTGGCCTTCTCTTTGTCTTTATACAGATGTGAAGAATTGGTTGTTGATGCAAGATTGATAGGTAAGCTGTATTGTTCAGATTGTGAGATAAGTCTTGTCGTGGACATAGCCTTGTTCACAAGACCTGATTGATGTTCCTTTGAGAGCTCACAAAGGAGCCTCTGCCTAAGCTGGTGTTGCCATGATTTATCAGTAGGTATCATTCTAGGGAAATCAGGTCTTGAGAGGTGTTGCCACCTTCACCCTTGAGACACCTTTCTTCAGATGAATATTGAAGGAGGACACTTGGGCACCCTTCTGCCTTTCTAAATACTGTTTGACCTGTGTGCCAATGAAGGTCAAATAATGGACTCTTTCCAGTGGCTACAGTAAGCCTCCCATTTCATGTAGATTGTCTGGCCTATAATGAATTTTTCATGCTCACAGTAATACAGGAAGAGGCAGGGATTCTTGCTAATATCCAAGTATCCAGGCCTATAGACACTGACCCTTAGAACATCTGCAGGTTTCCCTTTAAGGGAAGAATTCTCTGACCAGTCTTTGTTCATGGAGTTCCAAAAGGGCCCTGGTCGTCAAGCAGCTGGGTGGCACAAAACCACACAGTGATCTCAACAGTTCAGACATGCTGGTGCAAGGAGATGTAGATGAAATCATTATTCCCAGAACTGATTTTCTTTGGGCTCCCAGTGTCACTGGGAGCTGTACTATTACCCTGGTGGATACCTACAGACATCCAGGTAGGTGTGGGCTTAGGCCCAGGCCACTGACAAGGTGTCCTGAGGTCCATTTCCTTGTGTAAATGATAGAGGTGTCCCTTGGCACCCTGTCTGCCCCTTCCTAGAAATGCAGGTACTCAGATGGGAAAGGAAGGTGTCTTCAGCCATGCTAGAGGTTGTATTAGGACACATGGCCTAGGTGGGGTCAAATCTCAAATGGATGCTCACCTGTTGAGGACTGAATGTGTGATTGTATCCAGAATTTGTGCCTGTTGGGGCCCTGGCCTGGGAACTGTGAGCATAAGAGTTTTTAGTTGTCCCTTAGGAAAGGTTGGATTCTGGGGACAGGACTGTTTCACTGTCAATCATCCCAGTATCCAGGTGGGTTTCCTGTGTCACTAAGTGTTTTCTTGTGCACCAAAAAGCTCATCAGTTCTACTCTGATACCCTCTTCCACATCTTTCCTCCCAGTTTTCTTCAAAAGAGCTAATCTCTTTGAAGCCTACAAGACTAAGGGCAGACTTCTTGCAAATCTCAGGTAAGAATCAGCGTCCTAGTCCCACAGTATGTTCATGTGATCTGCCCTGTCTTGGTAAATGACAAGAGGGTGTGTATAATGAGATCTCACTTTTCATGGGAGGGAATCCTTCAGATATCTTGGCTAGTGTGGGGTCAGAGCTGATGTCACATTCAACATTAGAGCCTTTTTCCCAGTATGTCTTTGAATGTTGATAGAAAACTTTCAGTGTTTATTCAGGAGTGTGTAATTCTTTGTTTAATATTCCTTCCTTTTTAATTCCATGTTTATTCCCCTTTAAATACTCCATTTGATAATCAGTGCCTACTTACTGTTATGAGGGAGCCTCAGGAGATACTGCATTCTTACCTGCAAAAATTGTGCATTTTTATAGTAATCTCAGTGGGAGAATAAACAGAGTAAAATGTCATTGTCACCATTGTGCATCCTTGGGATAGGGATTGGAATGATTTGGCTTGTGTCCCCTCAGGAATATCCATTTATCAATGCAAGGTTAGTCATTGGCCCTGCAGGAGGAGCATAATAGAAGCAATGGACCCTGAATGATAGGATGATGTGGAGATTATGCAGGTGGACATGGGTAATGGACCAGTAAATGATAGGTTCTCTTGGGAGCCCTTTCCAGTGAATGGTCCTGAATGCATGTTCAGCCCGATGTTCATTGGGGAGGTCAGAAAGGAACCTCTGCCTTCCGTAGGTGTTCCAGTATTTCATTGCAGGTATCCTACTAAGATGATCCAGCTGGTGGTCAGGTTTTTGAGACCTCATACTGATCACCCATGGGACACCTTTTCTGATGAGAATTAGAGGACTGGTCTTGGACTCCCTTGTCATTTTGCCACTGTTGGACACGTGTGCTACCCAAGGTAAAACAAGAGACTATTCCCAATGACTATGGGTAAGCATTTACTTTCATATAGGATGGCTGGCACATAGTATGGCTTTCAGGCTTGCTGCAATTGTTGAGAGGCATGGATCCTTGTTAGTATTCATGTATCCACTACCACAGATATCAGGCCTTGGAAAGTCTTTGGGATTTTCTTTTCAAGGAAGAAAGATTTCTTTTACAAGACACTGCAAAAACCCAGGTCACAAACCCAGTAAGATTTACAAACAAATGATCTCCACAGTTCACATGTGCTGTGTAAGGAGACATAAACTAAATCCACATCTCTTGTTGTGTTTTTCACAGACCTCTGGATGTCAGAGTGCCCTGTACAAAGTACTCAGGTGGATCCCTACTGACAAGGTCCCAATCTCCATGTGCATATGTAAGTGAGGAAGATGTCCCTTGGCCTTCCCAACCCCTTCATAGGTTGAATGGTTCTTAGCTCAGAAAGGTTGGAGTTCTCCACCATGGCAGTGCTATGAGCAGACACCTTCCATGGGTGAGAGAGCATTGTTGCCAAACCTGTGAGTGCTCAAGGAGTGATTCAGTGCAGGGTTTTGTGCTTGTTGTGCCATTCCCCAATGAGCAATAAGCACATGAGTTTGGACTCTGGGGACAGAACAGTTTCCTTGACAATCATCCCAGCATCCAGGTGTGTTTCCAGTGTCACATGATGGTTTTTTATAGTCACTGACATGCTTATTGGCTCTATGTTGGCATCCTTTTCTTGATGTTTTTCCGGGTTGCCTTCACCAGAGTACAGGGATGGAAAGAAGACTATGGCTGAAACCTCATGGAAATGTAGGGTGGATCAGGGTGCCTGTACCTCATTGGGGAGCACATGGTCTTCTGTATTTAGGTGGATGTCAGGAGCATGTACCTAAGCAGATATTTCTCATGTTTTCTGACCACACATTCACTTTACAATTTAGCAAGTTTAGGCTTCAGATCTTATGCCCCAACCTCAAAACATTTTTGTCTGTTATAGATTTGACTATAGATGGTGAATCTGTAATGCTTTGCCTTTTTGGGGGGCAAACATGATGTTCAGTGTGTTCTTGCTATTGTGAGGGAGCACCAGATGCTGTTTCTAATCAACCGAGATTTCCAATCAAGGGAGTAAGATTTCTCTTACCCTGTCAATAGATGCATTTCATAAGAGTCCTGGTAAAGGAATAAGTGGGGCAAGAGTTCACTTTCATAATGTTGGTTTCCACAATAGGTACTACAGCAGTATGGTGGGTATCCCAAATTGTCCATTTACTGTGCATACATAGTCCTTGGTAGTTGTTATGATTCCAAAAAGATATGATGACATGGAGATTGTGCAAGTGGAAATGGGAGGTGGGACCATAAAGGATAGGTTTCCTTGGTGTCTTTTCCAGTGAGGGGTCTGGAACTCACTATGAGTCACTGAGCATTGGCTATCCCATTTACCATTTCCAAAGTACTATGTAAGTGTAGGTGTGAGCCTCCTTCATTGCATCAGAGAGAACATCTCCATGGACTTCATTAAATGATGGAAGGGTCCTTGTGGGTTGTTGCAGCTGTGCTTGAGTGCATGTGCTCAGGGTAGTGATGAAGGGGGAACTAAGCCAATCCAGTGACCATGCATTTTCCCTTTATGTAGGGTGCAGGAACACTGAGGGATCTGTCTTGGATTTCTTTTTCACTTCTCCAGTGACAATGCTGTTGAGCCGCCTTCTGAGCAGGAAGCACAGTCATCTTGGCGCATGACCCCTGGTTGAAAATGAGTGTCTCTGGATGGTCATCTTCCCTCAGATTAGTTCTGAGGATTGAAAGTCATTTCCAGCAGTGGGGATGGCCAGGGAAAGGATCAGATATTCTTGCAGCTCAAAGTGCATGTTGAATTACTTGGTTTTTACATGGTGTTCTCGGACTTCTTTCCAGGCAGGTACAAGTAGAAATATAAAGAAGTTTTCTTGAGTTGAGATTGCAGAAGGTCAAATAATGTGAATGTAGCCTGTTGTGGGGTTCCTGATGTTCCTTGGTGAGTTTGAATAAGACCCTTTCTTATTAACATACCCAGGTATGT